CCCCCCCCCACCCTTCTTTCCCCTGAACACACACCCTCCGTGACCTTCAAGTAAACTATGTGTTTTTTGCTGCTTAGTGTTGCATTAAAGTTATGTGTTATTTAGGAAAGTTCATGACTTTATTATAATACTCTAAATGCCGTCTGAAGTGATTAAATATACTCTAACCATTGTGACTGATTTCCATATCTCCACATAACGTTTGCTCACACTTTGGTTACATCTCTAGCAGCTGAAAGCATGATGTGCTGTAAGTGAAAGATCAAAAAACAATCTTATTCATGCCAATTTGCCGTCCCTTGTATTTAATTGATTTGTTTGTTCCCTGACTATTCCTTGCTGCCTTACTACCTCCCCATAAATCACCCAAATGCTAGTTTATGTGAGATTCTGATCATCAAGTGTCGCCTTTTAGCAACTGGGGGCATGAAAGTCAAACATCTCAACTCAACACGCAGATAATGTCTTGTACCACCTGTTGAAAAGCCTGACCTATTTGTCTATGTTTAGTGACACCAGAGCATGCACGTTGTGCACTGCTTAAATTCATGTGCAATTTAAAACTCCAGCATCCCCATTATCCCTTCCCCTCACCATTTCCCCTCCACAGTCATCACTCCCCTCACTCAATATTGCACTTCGTCTCTACACATGCGTAACATGGCCTTTACATCATGACGCATTGGGTCTTTGTGCATATGCGCATTTCCAGACCAGCACGCGGACATGCATTGTGGGTGTCATCAGACACTGCCTTTTTCACTAGCTGTTTTATCTACTTGCCTTTTGAGAAGAGTGTAACATTTCCTTAAAATCTCATCATGCTGTTAACTGTAAAAGTTCCATTGACTTTCTGGTCTGTATGTTCACTGGTCTTAGATAAATATATCCCCACATAACCTTGGTCTCCTGGATCATTTTGGATCACTTTTGAGAATGGAGAGAAATTTCCCAGAACATTTTCTTTCACAAAATTGTTTCAGGGTTTGTTTGCATGAGATCGTCTGGTTGGTGAGAGTGATAGTTGGGGAAACTGATAGGTGTCAAAAATTGTACCATGGCACTGTGGAACTGGCTTGATGAATCATTCAGTTTTCATTTTTTTAATCTTGTATATAACTTCTGTGTTATCCAAGGGTTGTTTTCTCTGTTTAACATTCAGGCCCAGCTGCCAAGGTAATTTGGATGTTGTGACCATCAGATTACAGGCCAGAATGTTTGAATTTCATGTTGCAACCAGACTGAATGTACCTGTACTAGTGTGTGTGTGACCTAGAAACCATCTGGTATTCGTATGTCAAAGATTAATGTGTTTTATGGAGTGTACAAGTATGCATGAGCAGTCGAAGGTTATCACATAAGTACAGGTTTTAGTTTAAACAAGACAGGATCCAACTTGTTACACTGTTTCAGATCCATACTTGCAACTTTGTTGCACAGGTCACCACCACCTCAGGTCATAGGTAATAAATGTGGCTTTGCTGATGTCACCCACACCAAGGAAGCTAATGCAGCATCTTCACTTACCTCTTCGGGCATTTTAATTCAAGATGAATTCGTAGTTCAGGACTGAGAGAGTACTTCACTGTGAGACGTGTCCAATTTTAAATCCGTTAAACCACAGTGCATTAAAAAATGGACATAAATGATCCTGCTGCATTCAAAAATCCAGCCAGTTCAAGGAAGAGCATGAGTGTTAACCTTGGTGTCCGGATTAACGCTTATTTCCCTCAGTATCATGAAAACACAATTATCTGATCAACATCATCATAGTCCTGGTTGTGAGAGAGTGCCATGTGGAAATTGGCTGCAATATTTCTTAGAAAGAAGAAGAGTGACTACACTAAAAAGTTCTTTATTGGTTGTAAACTGCTTAGGTCCTGAAATTGTGAAAGGCATTTTTAAATTTGAACAAATGTTTGTTTTTTAGCACAACCTGAGAAATATTAGAAATTTAATTTTAAAAATCAGTGGCGATGGTATGAGAACAGCTAGAAGTTGAATCTTTAATTTTATGTTCTCTCAACTGTATTACAGAAATGATAAGTAAAGAAAATCAGCACAAATCAGGTTTTAAGAGGAAACAAAAGCTTTACTATTCAGCTACCTCAGCTTTAGTGTCTCCAAACAAAATCAGATTTAATCTTTAAGCTCACTTTGTAGCTCATCTAACATACCTACAGTTTCTTTAAAAACTCAACTTTCAAAAGAATGATTCAATTTATAACACTGAAGAGATCTACCTGATGTTTAGTTTTATTTCTGTTGCTTCCAGCATAAAAGCTTTGTTAGCAAAAAGCCATTCCATATTTTTTAAAATCAGTTAGCTATGCTCACCATATATATGTTTCTGCAAACTCCTATCCACTCTGTAAATCTTAATATTGAATGTACCCAAGAGCTGCAAAGGAAATTTTTAGACATTTTCTAATTAACCCGTTCAGACATGTTATTACACACCTCTGAAGCAGATGGGACTTGAACCTGGATCTCCCCTCTCAGAGGTAAGGACATTGCCACTGTACTGCAAGAGGGCACTGCGATTGTAAATTTATATAAAGTTTAAATTACAATAGTACCAGAGTTTTGATTTTTAAGCTGCATATCACATGCACACTGTGTGTAAGTTTGAAAGCACTTCAAGCAAATACTATTATGAAAGCAACTCTTTGTTTTTATGTGAGATACATTAGACATTTGCTCATTCTTGTGTGACAATAAGCATACTAATTTTAGCAGTAGTGCATACCGTCTGCAAGTTGCATTGTAGTAACTTTTTCGTTTCAAACCCAGAAAGACACAGGCGGCAGATCCTTGAGTATGCCACCTGAAAGTTCCTCTCCAAGTCGCTCTCTATCCTGACTTGGAACTATGTCACTGTGCCTTTGTTATCACTGGGTCAAAATCAGCATTGTGGGGTGCACCCACATCCTATGGACTACAGTAGTTCAAGAAAAGAGCTTACTGCCACCTCCCCTAGGCTATTTAGAAATGTGCAATAAATGCTAACCTATCCAGTAATTTGAACATCCCATGAATGAATTTCTTATTGAATTATGCAAGTTTCTCAATTATTCAATCAATTTCCTTTTGAAGATGCTACAAGACGACGTGCCTTTGGTCTCGTTGCCCAAGCGTACACATCAATTAGTGCTGATGATCTTGCTGCTTTTGTGGGACTTCCTGTAGAAGATGCTGTTAAAGGTAGCTTATTACTAATATTTCCAACAGATTACCAAATAAGCCAAGTATTTTATAGTGGTTATTTTGGATTGCAGCTCATTGCGATCTCCAGTTTTACAAGAACTATGGCATATGTCTGGGCTCTGACCCTAAATATTGCGTGATAGGTTCAGTGTTTTCAATTATTTTAAGTGTAAAAAATTGAGCTGCAGATGTTTTGATTAACAATGTTTACTTCTCAATATAAAATGTTTGTCAAGTATAGTTTTCTGTTAAGGATATGATTAAATCATATTATGATCATAATAAATACACACCGTACTGGGCTTTTTGACCCATTGAGCTTGCTATACCGTTCAGTAAAATAATAGCTGATCTACTATACTACTGTACTACTGTTCCACTCTTGGTGATGGGCATTGAAGAATGCCAAGAATGTTAAGTCCTCACCCAGAGTACGTGCAGTGTCCTAAACATGCTCAGCATTTCTTCCAGTTGGTGTTCAACATGGAATATTGATTCCTCAGCCAAAGGAGAGGGGCAGAGGTGGAGATTTTCCTTCCCTGTTTGATCCGATTCCGTGAGGCTTTTTGGAGTCCAGAGGCAATGTTGAGGACTGCCAGAGTAACTCCCTTCTGACTGTATGCCACTGTTCCGCTATCTCTGGTGAGTCTGTCCTGCCAGTGGGACCAGATGTACCCAGGAATGGTGAATTCTGAAACATTGTAAGTTATGATTTTGAGAGTGTGATTCTGTCAGGTGGTTGTTTTACTAGCCTGTTGGACAGCTGTCCCATTTATGGCACATTTCCCCAGATGTTGGTAAGGAGGACTCTGTAGGGTCAACACAGCTGAGTTTGGTGTTGTCTTTTGTAGGTGAACCATTCCGTTTTCTTCCTTTTCTTAGACTTTGTAGCGATTAGATACTACAGAGTGGCTTGTTAGGCCTGTTCAAAGGCCGTTTAGGAGTCAAACAAATTTCTGAGTCTGAAGTCGTTTGTGGTCTGCCTAGGTAAGGACGGTAGATTTCCTTTCCTAAAGGTCATCAGTGAATCAGGATGGGTTTTATGACAATTGATAGTGTTTCATGGTAACCAATAGATAGTTGTGGTGGGATTTGCACTCGTATCTAGATAATTAGCCTGCGCCTTGGAATTTCTAGTCCAGTGATATTGCCACACCACCTCTCCTCAAATGGGATACCAACTGAATGTCTTCACACTTCAGCTTCTGTGTGTTGCTGTTTCTAGATTCCTTTCTTGGACCCTTCATTTCTTTTTGTAAAATGCCAGAGCATCCCCATCTCATCCCTGCACCAAATTGACTAATTGAAGCACTTGTTTCACTTCATTAACCATTGTACGACTTAATTGAGTTAAAATCAAGCTGAAGTTCAGCTTCCTTCAAGATAATTGTTTAGATGTAGATTAGAGCTGGTTTTCAACTCCAGTGTATGTAATTATAATGTAACTGTCCTGTGGTTTGTGGAGTTTCAACTCTGCAAGCTAATTGTGCAGTAGTGTACTGTGAGCTAGGTTCTGAGGCATAAAAACCAGCTGTGCCAGATAAATGCTCTCTGGGTTTATAGAGTTTGAGACTTTTATAAAAACTGCAGTACCTAATGCCAAACATAGCGTTACATCAAATGCTGCTGCAAACAATATGTCATGTCCATGCAAGGGGACATGAGGATCTGGAAATTGATTCAACAACTGAATTTAGATCTTTGATCTTATTGAGATGTGATAAAAGATAAACCAGTTAGCACTTCCTAGATTTTTAAAAAGCTATTAATTTTCGAGTTAAACAGTTACGGGAATTTTGATTTCTTGTTATAACTCTCCAGAACTGTTTACAACGTTGGATCCATGTAGTCCTTTAGCTTAGCTTGCTATTGTCAAAATATGTAATTGCATGACACCAGATTTTATTCTGCATTTGCTTTTATAAATCTTAGCTTCTCCTTCAGATGGGCAGTCTTTGCTTGTCCCATCTTTCTTGCTCCTTTTCTCACATACTCCCTCCCCCTCTGCCCTCTTCTCCTACCCCTCTCCCCTTTCACTCTTGCCTGCTTGAGTTCCCTCAACTTCCCCTTCATTCATCCATCCTCACAGCTTCTGCTCTCCTCCTGTCAATGCAAGGGATGTCCTTGTGCAGCCAAGTGGGGAAGGATTGCCTAGAAATCATTGCCAGTTTTCTCCAGAGCTTCACCTAAGTTTCCCACCCGGGTCTGGAGTGAGAAGCACTGCTGCTGAGCAAAACGGTCCATTACTAGTCATTTTTCTGAGCAAGGTGTCTGTTTCTGGAGATATCTGCAGCACAATATACTGATGGGGTCTAGGATTTGATTTCCATTCGATCACTTGCTTTGAGTGAGTGTAGTTTGAAAACAGTCTCAAATCAGTTTTTTATCGGAGGAACATTATGTGCATTGGTCCCCAGTGAAGAACATAAGAACTAGGAGCAGGAGTAGGCCGTCTGGCCCTTCGAGCCTGCTCCGCCGTTCAATAAGATCATGGCTGATCTTTTCGTGGACTCAGATCCACTTACCCGCGTTCTCACCGTATCCCTTAATTCCTTTATTGTTCAAAAAAAATCTACCTTTTTTTAAAAAACGTTTACTGAAGTAGTGTCAACTACTTCACTGGGCAAGGAATTCCATAGATTAACAACCCTCTGGGTGAAGAAATTCCTCCTCAATTCAGTCCTAAATCTGCTCCCTCTAATCTTAAGGCTATGCCCTCTTGTCCTAGCTTCACCTGCCAGTGGACACATCCTCTCTACTTCTATCTTATCTATTCCCTTCATAATTTTATATGTTTCTATAAGATCCCCCCTCAATCTTCTGAATTCCAATGAATATAATCCCAATCTTCTCAGTCTCTCCTCATAAGCCAACCCCCTCAACTCCGGAATCAACCTAGTGAATCTCCTTTGCACCCCCTCCAGTGCCAATGCATCCTTTCTCAAGTAAGGAGACCAAAACTGCACACAGTACTCCAGGTGTGGCCTCACCAGCACCTTGTACAGCTGCAACATAACCTCTCTGCTTTTAATTTCAATCCCTTTAGCAATGAAGGACAAAATTCCATTTGCCTTCCTAATTACTTGTTGTACCTGCAGACCTACCTTCTGTGATTCATGCACAAGGACACCCAGGTCCCTCTGCATAGCAGCATGATGCAACTTTTTACCATTCAAGTAATAATCCTTTTTACTATTACTCCTACCAAAATGTATGACTTCACATTTATTTACATTGTATTCCATCTGCCAGACCTTTGCCCACTCACTCAATGTATCTATGTTCCTCTGCAAAGTTTCACAGTCCTCTGCACACTTTCCTCTGCCACTCATCTTAGTGTCATCTGCAAACTTTGACACCCTACACGTGGTCCTCAACCCCAAATCATCTATATAAATTGTAAATAATTGCGGTCCCAACACCGATCCCTGAGGCGCACCACTAGTCACTGACTGCCAGCTAGAATAGCACTCATTTATCCCCACTCTTTGCTTCCTGTTAGTCAACCAATCCTCTATCCATGCTAATACTTTACTCCTAATGCCATGCATCCTTATCTTATGCAGTAGCCTCTTGTGCGGCACCTTGTCGAAAGCCTTTTGGAAATCTAGGTACACCACATCCACTGGGTCCCCATTGTCCACCTCGATCGTAATGTCTTCATAGAATTCCAAAAGATTTGTCAAGCATGACCTGCCCTTCATGAACCAATGGAAGCATGAAAATATCTGGCTGGCAGTAAAGGTGTAAGGAAAGTATTCTCGTCCATGTTGAGAGTTTGGACTTGCAAAATATATTTAATTAAGTGGACTTTAAGAAAATTGAAACCTGAGACGTTAAAAGGACTTTGGTACAGTGGATAAGCAGTGATCTGTGGATACAAAAAAGTAATTTTGAATGGTAGTGTTTCAGACTTGAGGAGACTGCATATTGCAATTCCCCAGTCACCTGCAGGTTGTTGAAACATTTCTGGATCTTTAGATTTGCTAATAGAAGCATAGTGAGTACAAAAGTGACAAAAGTTTGCTGAATCCCTATAAACTGCTAGTTAGGTCTCAGTTGGAGGATATTGTCTAACACTTTATGTCACATGTTGAGAACAATGGCAAGGCTTGGAGAGAAAACAGACATGCTTTATAAGAATGTCACCAGGATGTTTTAGGATAAAAGTTGAGACTTGTAAAAATCATGAAGGATTTTGATGGAGTAAATAGCAAGAACTGTTTCCACTGGCAGCAGAATTGGTAATCAGATTTAAAGTAATTAGCAACGAAGCCAGAGTTGAGATCTAAGTTTCTTTTTATTCTCTAATTGAGGTGTGTGTATATTATCATAGATTAGTCAGTGGTTTTGTGCTGTAATTTTAATGTACCTTGGGTCAAATGGACAGACTGCCTTGAGAGAGGTTTTTTGAGGGACAGCTATTCTTCTTTACTCATTTTGGTGAGGATATAAATTTCATTATTCCTCTCAATTGTGCGAGATAGCATACAATTATAATGAGTGTTTTGATTAATGTGGTTAATGTAGCGTACACAGACTTCCAAAAGACATTTGATTAAGTGCCGCGTAACTTTGCCAAACAGCAGAGTGGAGAGTGAGCTCTAGGTGCTGTTTAACTTCAGAAAATGCTTCTAACAATGAGTTCTAGAGTGCCCAGCATTTTCTCCTGTGCTAACTTGGTGCATCCAGAGACCAAAAAGTGCAACCCTGCCTGAGGGTAGGAAAAACTTGGAGAACATGAGGCCGAGCTAGGAAGCAGTAGTTTCAATCTTTGGATTTTTTGTTTCTGTCTGCACATTGTACAGGCTCCTTCATGCAGGCTGCTGACCACACTTCACAAGTACTGACAACTAAACCAGAAGTGGGGGAGGGAGAAAGGGGCTGATAACTGACTGCTTGGAGGGGATGGGGATTAGGAAAAGAAGCTGCTGAGTGGGTAAATGGGGAGTTTGCATATTTCCCCTTGTGTCTGCATGGCTTTCCTCCGGGTGCTCCAGTTTCCTCCTACAGTCCAAATGAATGTGCAGGTTTAGTGGATTGGCCATGTTAAATTGCTCAGAGTGTCCAGGGATGTGCAGGCTAGGTGTGTCGGCCATGGGAAATGGTAGAAGACTGAGTGTGGGGGGAATGCTGTTTGAAGAATCAGTGCAGATTCAATGGGCTGAATGGCCTCTTCGACACTGTAGGGATTCAATGAATGATTTGATCTACAAATAGGTGAGTTTTAATAAATGTTCAATGCTACTGTGTTGCTTTATTGCTGTTTTATTTTCACTACAGCCTGGGGTCACGATATTAAAAGGCAGTCACATTAGAAAGTAGCTTGAGGGCAGTGTAGATAGTAAGAAAATGTGGCAATATTGAAAACCAGAGAATACAGATCTAGGGCGGTTTGCAAAAGAATCAAAGATGATAGGCTACAAACTTTTTTTGCACAAGTAATTAGGTTCTGAAATGCTTTCTCTGAAAGGATGGTGGGTGCTGATTCATTTGTCGTTTTCATAAGGGATTTGGATAAGTACCTGGAGGTTTACTTGTGACCTTGCAGGGAAAGGATGAGAAAATGGAACTAGCTGAATTGCTTTTGCAGAGTCAACATGGAGCTAAATGGCTGCCTCCTATGTTGTAATCATTCTATGTATAATGTAGGAACAACTGGAATAAAATTATATGATTGAAAAGTCTTCAACACAATACGGTTGCTTGTAAAAATGTCTTTTTTTAAATGGTATTTTTCTGTCTGTCCAATGTTCAGTCTTGTTTCCCTTCTAATTGCAGCTGTTTTAGAACAGGGGTGGCAGGCAGATCCATCCACACGAATGGTTGTACCCAAAAAGGCAGGTAGGTGGTACTGTTGCTCTATTTTAAAGAAAATGTTGCAGTGTTTAAAATAAACTCACCTTTCAGCGAATGGAAAGATTTCTTTCAACTTTGCATGTAAATCATGTTCCCCTAAAGCAAGCTTTGACAGAAATCGTCTGGTTTAGCTTAAAAAGCCTTTTAAGTTCCATCTGCATCTGATTGCATCTGCAAACAGCCTTTTTTTTTGTTCGCCTTGCTTCCTGGAGTCACATTTCATGGGCTGGCTGTAAAGAAATCCAATGAGAAAGCCACTGTCTCCAGTTTGCATAGTGACTGCAGTGCGACTTTTGAAAGTTGCCTTCTATCAAATGGTTTTAATTGTGTTGATGGATTTACTTTCTGCATCCGTGTGAGTGCAGTTCAACAGATGTTTTGCACATGTATTTAAATTGATGATTGCATAGGGATTTTTTTCCCCCGGGATAAAAAGAAAGGACAACCAAGCATGGAAGTCAAAGGAACTTGATTTTTGTGATTGATTTGCCTTTTCCCATTTACCCTGAGCATCTGCTGCTCCATGAGGTTGGACCACTTAAGCTGAGCACCTGTGAAAAAAAAGTGTCCCATTGCATTAATTTAAACCACACATTATAAATCGTAATATTTGCATCAATGTCTAAGGTGATTCATTTGCTTTTCTCTTTGTAATTTTTACAGAACCTCCCCCAGTACCACAGATTCCTAATGAACAACAGTTGGCCAGACTGACTGACTACGTGGCCTTCCTTGAGAACTGACAAACTACCACTATCAAGTGTGTGTGTGTGTGTGTGTGTGTATGAAAGAGAGAGAGAGACGAACTCAGGCTGTCAGTTTCTTGTTCGCGAATGACACAGACCAGTGGAATTTTGTTGTATACTAACCTTGACTAAAAGGAGACTCTTGAAGTTGCTTTTGAATGTTCTTGTAAATATCAATGTCACCAAATTAAAAAAAAAAAAAAAAAAATCCTCTCTAGGGATATCTAGTATTTTCCACCAAGTACATTTATTTTAGTCTTGCTGACTGACCTTCGGAAAAGTCAACTGAATTCCACCCACATTATGGATCCTAGAACATCCTGCTTTGCTTTGAGTTTATCCAGTGATTTGGACTGTTTGTTCATAAGCAAACATAAGTCTGCATATTTCAGCTGTGCACAGGATCTTTTGTTTAGCTTCCTTTCTTTTTTTGGGCAGTTTGAGGTTTTCGCAATGTAGAATAGGAATTAGTAAGGGTTGTCTTTTTCTTGGTTCTTCACATTGGATTCAGGGTAATCTGTTGCCCTGCACACTAATTAGTAGGCCTTAAGTTTGAAAAAAAAATGGAAAGTTCTGATTTATACTTTTTGTGAGGGTGTTAATGAGAATGCAGAAATGATTCATAAGAATGGAAGCAGAGATGTGAAACTTCATATACGTAGATAGATTAAAGAAATGGAGATTGCTTTCCTTGGGCAAGAAAAGATTCAGAGGAGATTCTTTGACAGTATTCAGATTTGTGGACTTGAAACCTTTTTTTGATTTGAAGCAAGGAAGACATAAGTAAAAACATTTTCATGCAGTGAGTGGTTAGAATCAGGAATGCACTTCCTGAGAATCTGCCAGAGGCAGGTTCAGTCAACGTATTCAAGAGGGGAATAGTGTTATTATCTTAAAAGGAAGAATAAGCAAGGCTGCAGTGAGAATGCTGGGAATGGCATGAGATAAATTGCTCTTATGGTGCTGGGTCAGTTTTGTGATTAGCAATGGGTTGTGTGCTTAAATGAAGCTTAAATCTTAAGAAAGAGAGGTTGTATTGGAATAATACTTGGAAATGTGTAAGAGATGAGATTTAAAAAAAAAAGCAAGGTACTGCAGATGTTCAAAATCTAAATTAAAATACAGAATGCTGGAAACATCCTGGTTAGGCAACACCTTGTGGTGAGAGAAACAGAATTAATGTTTCAGTTTAATAAACTCTCATTGGATAAGATTAGCGGCGACAAGGTTGTATTCTCCATTGAGAGCACTGGATTGTGAACAAGGGGCCACAAATCTCAGTGAACATACAAAATTGAAATGGCCACTGCCGCAGCAATGAGCACTTAGTTCCCTGTTTAGAATGAGTTAGGACACCATTGATGTCATTGGAGGTATTTGGGAAGTGTAAACAAAATTATATAGACATCTGAGATAACAAGGTGTAGAGCTGGATGAACACAGCAGGCCGAGCAGGAAGGCTGACGTTTCGGGCCTAGACCCTTCTTCAGAAATGGGCTGACATTTCGGGCCTAGACCCTTCTTCAGAAATTTCTGAAGAAGGGTCTAGGCCCGAAACGTCAGCCTTCCTGCTCCTCTGATGCTGCTTGGCCTGCTGTGTTCATCCAGCTCTACACCTTGTTATCTCAGATTCTCCAGCATCTGCAGTTCCTACTATCTCTTATGTAGACATCCTGCAGTTTTCTGAAAGGAAAGGAAAGGGAAGAAGAAAGGGTCAGCTATATTCCTTTTTTGGGCAGCCAGGAGAGGATTCTATTTGTTTAGTAGCTGTGCGATAATAAAGGGCGGTGGTAGAAGCCCAGATAATTTTTAAAAAAATTCAGTCATCTCCAACGAAAGTCAAACTTTCGATCCATTGATGTGAATTTCAAAGCCTGCGACAGGAATCACTTGACTCTGTTGACAATTTCTTGACGAGATTGAGCCAGAAAATATATATCTGAGGAAATGGGTGAAAGTTACCAGATTGGCATTTCTGGGGCACTGCAAGCCTTGATTTTAAAAGGAGTTTTGACTGGACAGGACAAGCTTCCAATATCACAGATTCTTCTTACTGCTAGAGCACGTGAAGCCACAAGTAGACAAATGAAGACAATCTACCCAAACAGCCAGCCTTCAGGTAAGTAAATATAAAAGGCAAGTGGGTTAATACAGCGACACAGCAACAGAAGAATACAAACTTGAACAGTGATATACAGGAAGGAAATGACTCCCATGTGGATCAAACTGAGCTTGTGAAAATTCAAATCACTTGGAAAAGATGCACAGCGCAAAGAAAATAGTTGGTAAAAGAGTTACCATAGATGGAGCAACAGGATGAATGAGAAGGAACAGCAACCAAACAATTTATACCCTGGAAGAATGGGGTGAGTTTGAGGATGCAGTAGATGTGGGGACCAAGCAACTACATTATATATCTTAATGAGGTATATTTTGTTTTGCTAAAGAGAGAGTGTTGTTATAGTATATTCAAAAAGTATTAGAGGCTATATTATGAACATATATATCAAGATGCCATATCACTCACTGTGTATTAGTCACTGTACTTAGCAACATTATATCAGACCTCCACCCACTTGGAGAGCTACAAGAAATGTACTCCATGAAACCCCAGCATTTGAGTCTGATTATTTCAAACTTTTGGGAACCACAAGACACAAGGTATTGTTTTGCCCTTCATGTATTTACGAAATATCTTTGGCAAGTAAAATCAATGAAAATCCAAAATAAAATCTGTGCTGTATCCTTCTATGATTTGATAGTAAGAACCATTAAAACTTCCTGGGAGCATTGTTGTAGCTTTACTTTCAAATTGGGTGTGGTGTGGGGGGGGTGGGAAAAAGTTTAATAATTTACCTACATAAAGATGAGGAATGTCAGCACTTGTGTCAAAATTTACACCCAAAATGGTGATGTACAAATCATTGGGAAAAGTTTTGTGACAGTTGATTATCATTCACTGAAGGGTATTTGGCACATATTAAGGGTGGATTGCTTCCTATCAGAAATTAACACTGTCATTAACACCAACATTAGATATAGTCTACATGGATTTTACCAAGACCTTTGATGAGGCTCCATGTGACAGACTAGTCAGTAAGTTTAAAAACTCATGGATCAAAGGAAAAATAGCACATTGAATCTAAAATTAGTTCAATGGCAGAAAGCAAAGTGTAAGATTAATTTGTAAGAGCAATACGAGTACTTTTCTGACCAGTAGGCTGTGTTCAACGGGATTCTGCAGCCTTAGCAGTGAATCCCTTTACTGTTCATGGTTTTTGTCAGTAATTTAGACCGTAATGTAGGAGATGATCAGGAAGTTTGCAGATACCCGTGTGGTTAATTAAGTAGAAAGCTGTTCACTGTAGGGAGGTATCAGTGGGCAGGTCAGCTGAAAAGTGACAAGTGGAATTCAAACCAAAAGTGCACCAATGTTTTTAGGGAGGGAAAAGAAGGCAGAGATGATACAGTAAACAGGATACTGAGAAGTGTGGAGCAGCAGAACTTGAGTGCATGTTCACAGATCCTTAATGTTAGCAGGATAGGCAGATAAACTGGCTCAGAAGGCATATTGAATGCTTATTGGCTAAAGTGTAGAATATAAGAGCCATAGAGATTAAGGTAGAACTATACAAAATACAATTAGACCACAACTAGATTACGGCTGTGTACAATTCTGGTCACAACATTCCAGAAAGGATGGGAGTCCTGGGAGAGGATACAGTGGAGGTTTACAAGGATGTTGCCAAGAATAACGAACTTTGCCTTTTGAGAAAGATTGGATAGGCTGGTTTCCCAGAATAGAGGAGACTGAAAGGGAATGGAATTGAGTTGCACAAAATTGGGTTGAGGTAGGGCAGATAGGAAGGACCTAAAAGTCAGTCAATAACCTAAGGTTGTATATTGAATGTAATTGGCAGAAGAATTGGCCGGAAGTTGAGAAATGTTTTCACCCAGAGAGTGGTGTTGATCAAGGACTCAGTGCCTGAATAGATGGTAGAGACAGTAATTTTCATTGCATTTTTTAAGGAAAAGACTTAGATATACACTTCAAGTATATATGTCCTATCTACCAAGAGGTAGAAAGTGGGTGGTGAGGCAAAAGACCACCTGTGACATAGCTATTGTATGTAAGGAGCTTACTTTGCCCATTGTAGCTCTGCCTGCTCATTTTTCCTCATCAACCTATTCACAGATGTTACTATACACCTCTGAAGCAGGTGGAACCTGAACCCAGGCCTTCCAGTCCAGGGGTAGGGACAGTATCATTTCACACGAGCCCTCCTGCTCTTTTGTACAGCTATCCAATGAATCCCATTTGCCTGTTCTTTTCTTAGAATGCTTTCTCCTTCCGAATGCTTATCAAATTCCCTTTTAAATGTTAATATTAAACCTGCTTTCAGGCAATGCAATCCAGAAAATGATAACTGGCTGTGTTTTTTACAAAAAAAGAATTGCCCATGTTACTTATGTTTTACCTCCCTTCAATCTTCTCTAATTATCAATTCTTTATCTATTGGTAATAGTTACTCCTTGACTTAATCAAAACTGTTCATGGTTTAGATCACCACTTCAGCTCTGATGTACCTTTGCACATGACTGAAGGTGGCAGGGCAACTTTAGAGCACATATAATAAAGCTTAGTTTCCTAGGCTTTGTTAATAAGGTACAAGAGGTTATGAAGTACATAAGCAAAGGACAGGAAGGATTTGTGAAAGTAATCCCAAAGGTGGGGAACCTTGCTTACAAAGAGAGATTGGAGATGTTGCCGTTTTTCTTGGAGCAGAGAAGATTGAGAGGAGATTTGATCGGGGTATTCAAAATCATGAAGGATCTGGACAGGGTAGTTAGGGAGAAACTGTTGTAGACAGTCAATGTGGCATTTTACAAATTCCTATGTTGGAAATAAAACCAGTCTGACTCCAACACAGATTCTAAACAAGGCCTCACACCTGAAATGTTTTGTCTGACCTGAGATGTCACCTCTGGTATACTGACAAAGCCTTTAGTTATCTCAGAGCAGTGACTTGAAAGGAATTCTTGGATTTGCATATTAGTCAGTTGAAACCTGCATCTCCTTTCTAACTGATTAAAGATTTAACCGCTATCTTAGGTTTGTTCAATATATTTGCATCAGTTCTATGACCCTTTGATCTTTTGCCTATAAATTGTCTGGTGGCACCTTTCTCACTAACCCCTGAAGAAGGAGCGAGACTCTGAAAGCTTGTGTTTTCAAATAAACCTGTTGGACTATAATCTGGTGTTGTGATTTTTGACCTTGATCACTCCTGAAAAGTTTGAGAACAAGAGAACACAAATTTAAGATCATCAGTGTAAGAAATGATGGCGACATAAGGAGAAAACTATCCAGCAAGTAGTTAAGATCTGGAATGCACTGCCTGAGAGTGTGATGGGGGCAGGTTCAATTGAGGCATTCAAAAAGTAATTCACTAGTTATGTGAACAGGAAGAATGTGGAAGAAGGAGGGAATGGCAGGTAAATAGCTCATTCAGATTGCGAGTGCAAACGTGCTGAGCCAGTTGCCGCCACCTGTGTTGTAAGAATTCTGTGAAGAACAAGTCCAGTTTATCCAGTTCCCCCAAACAACTTAAGTGCCTATTTTCCAGCAGCATTCTAATAAATCTCGTTTGCACCCTATCCAAGACCTTGACAATCTTCCTAAAGTGCAGTTCCCAGAAATTAATACAGTAGTCCAGCTGTATTAGTTTATAAAGATTCAGCATAGTTTGCTTTTCCTTTTCTAAAAAAAAAGCATAAAGGATCTTGGGTTGTATTAAAATAGCCATCTCAAAGTTGAGAGAACAAGTTTAAATTTTATGTATGTACATTCAAGTTACTGTTCCTGCCTCTCCTCAATCATTGAGCTTTTTGGGATACAATATCATATATTAGAGGACTCATAATCTAGAGACCAAGACTAACAAATTAGAGACAGAAGTTTAAATCCAATTAATTAAATGAATTCTGGAATGAAAAGCTAGAATCAGTAGTACGATCTACGCTAATACTGCATTGTTGTATGATACTGAGTACCCTTTGGAGAAGGAATCATGTCATTGTTACCCGGCCCGGGTCCATGCGTCGAGACCCAAAACAATGTAGTTAACTCTTGTTTTCTGGAATAGCCTAGAAAATCACTCCATGGTATTCAGAATCACTGATGTACCAATGCATTCTCTAGGGCAATTTGAAATGTTCTAATTAGGAACATGAGTAGGCCACTTGGCCCCTTGAGCCTGCTTGGCCGTACGGTAAGATCGTGATTGCTTCACATTCCTGCTTATACTGATAAATTTCACTTCCCTGACCCCCTTTGTTCATTAATGGCCTAGTGGTGTTATCGCTGGACTGTTAATCCAGAGACCCAGTTAACGTACTGGGGACTAGGGTTCAAATCCTGCCACGGCAAATGGTGGAATTTGAATTCAATAAATATCTGGAATTAAGAATCTAATGACCACGAATCCATTGTCGATTGTCAGGAAAACCCATCTGGTTCACTAATGTCCTTTAGGGAAGGAAACTGCCATCCTTACCTGGTCTGGCCTACATGTGACTCCAGACCCACAGCAATGTGATTGACTCTTAATTGCCTTCTGGGCAATTAGGGATGGGCAATAAATGCTGCCTGGTTAGTGATGCCCTCTTCCCATGAATGAATAAAGAAAAAAAAAGAAACTATCTACTTCTGTCTTATAATTTTTCAAGGACCCTGCTTCCATTGCCACTCTGCTGCTTCACCCACTCTTCACCTCCAATTTGACCATAGCTGATCTTATTGCAACCTCAACTCCACATTCCTGTCTACCCTAGATAACTCTTCACTCCTTTGGTTTTCCAGATTCTATCTGTCTAAGCCTTAAAAATATTCAAGGACTCTATTTTCCAAAGAAACATACTCCCTACCATATTTTGAGGAAAGATGTTCTTATGACTCAACTCAGAAAAGTAGTTCTCATCACAATCTTAAATCAGCAACATTTATTTTTAAATGGTCACTCTTAGCCCTAGATGATCCCACAAAAGGAAATATCCCTTCCACATGCATCTTAAGATCTTTCAGTTGTATGTTTCAAGCAAGTTGCCTATTGCTGTATTAAGCAGATACAAACTTACCCTGTCCAACTTTCCCTGATAAGACAATCCACTTTCTATCTCCCTTTTTAAATAAATGAATTATATCAACTAATCCCCAGTCTAATGGGACTTTCTCTGAATCTGGGGAGTTTTGGAAAATTAAACCCAATGTATCAATTATCTGATATGGACAATAAATTATGGCCTTGCCAAAAATGTCTATTCTCTGAATCATTAAAAGAAATACTGCCTCTCTCCATTCTTTGTTGTTCCTCCAGGATTCTCCTTATTAAACTTCCTCTGCAATGTATCTCCCTGGTTTGTCTCAATGCTCCTGAAATCTGTTACTATCCATTTCATTGTGTATTTCTGAGTTTTGTATCATCTGACGAATATACCCAATCTTCAAAGAGCAATAATTCTACTATCTACCCCCAGAGGTGCACCAGTGTATAATTCCCTCCAATCTGAAAAATAACCATTCAGCACTACTTTCTGCTTTGTATCTCCAGTGGATTTTATATCCACACCACTACAGCCCTTTTTATGGGTTTTATCAATTATAACAGTTTCAGTTTTTGGTATGTTATCAAATGCCTTTTGGAGGTCCAAATGCATGACACCAATTG